TGCCATAAGTAACCGGTATGTACTAGAACCGAATCAGAATGCAGATTTCGGTGCCTCATTTCAGTGCCACTTAAATGCCTGAGCAATAGATTGAAATATTTGTCCTGGTTCTCCGGAATGGACGTAAGAAGCATGGGCGTCACTAGGCCATTTTTAGCGGGGCTATAGTGATTAGCTCCATAAACTGTATACAAATTCGTGATCGCCTTAGAGTCAGTCCCCTTTAAATTTCATATGAAAACGGTGGCAGACTTAGTCTCCTCCCTGTCTTTCAGTGCGCTCTTCAATCCGCAGACTGTGGCGGCGCAACACGAGCGGACTCAAACAGAAACAGAGGACACAAGGTGTGTGTTTATTGATAGATTGTTATAATATCTGTATCTGTGCAGTTCTTTGTCATAAATACAGTTTACAAAAGGACACGAGGGAGCAATCGGTTTCCCATCTACTGTAAAGTTTTCGCTGCGTTCACTCCTCATCACACCACAGCTGTTTCCTCCAGTGAAAATCTAGCCCATAACACATATGAACGCATACTTTATAAAACGATCATGCTGCCATTTTCATTTGAAAATTTAATATTTAATATAAAACATATTACAGTGCATGTGGCATACCATACAGTCATTCACAGAACTGATTAAAGACAGTGACAGACAGCACTCAAAGTCAATTCACTCATTTTAACTAAATATCAGTGTGATTGACAGCGATACAGTGGAAACATTATGTGTGGTTTTGTATTAAATAATGACCCAGATCGTAAAATACATTTATTAGCCTTAGAGTAAGGGAAGCATAACTCAGGAAATGAGAGCATATGAGGAGCACGTGAATGCTATGTATATTTATTTTTAATATTTTTAATGTTCTTTAATGTTATCCATCTTTTTTTTTTTTGGTAGCTCTTTTTTTAAAAGTATCGGTTCAGGCACCGGTACCGTTTTAAAAGTAACGATTTGGCACCGGTATCGTAAAAAAAACAATTGATACCCAACCCTATGTGTTTTGTTTGGTTTTTGCGATATAGGCTACTCAATAATGTCATGATGTCTCACGAGTTGAGTATCTGCGCTAAACCTGCGCAGATTTGGCTTGCATGAACGTCCCCAAGAAATTGAGTGAACATAACTTACGAAAAGTTACCCGCCACAGCTGATTTTTACCCACATTTGGCAGGTTGGCGGGTGTTAATTTCAAACCCTGTATATATATATTATACATATATATACACACACACAGCAGTGTTTCCCACAGACTCTATTTGTGGCAGCATATATATGCAAATTCATTCTCTGCCAGGAGGTGACGCTTAGAGCGGGAGAAATAGAGGTTTCCCCGGTAACCGCTGTACACAAAGCAGCACTCCGCTCACAAACACCGCTTTATCAGACATTACATGAAAGATGAAATGAAAATTACATCCAAAATTTTCTGAAGACAGTCAGTTTCCTTCAGAAATACAGTGATATAAAAACACCGGGTTTCGATTTTGAAACATGCAGTGCTCATGTTTATTCAACAAAGTCAAAGCCTTTTGGAAAACCTATTTGTGGCGGTTGTGACAAATAAATCAATGTATGGGAAACACTGTAAAGTACATACACATATATATACACACATATACACATATATATATATATATATATATACACATATATATATATACA